ACTCAAATGCACTCTTGCGACTTCTTTACATATTTTTAAGGCTAATCGTGGGCAATTTTTGAGAAAAATTATCTTGAATGTAGTAAGGTTGGCAGCAAGTACGGTTGGTGGTAACCGTCAAAAGTTGGCAATGACCCCCTCCCATCCACAAAAACCAAAACAAAGCACCGCCATTTTTGGGTCCTAAGCCTCTCCATGGGGCCCAGTGGCCATACTCTCTTAATATAGGTACTCTAATATCGGGTGGAATGGATTCCGAAGACTGTTTTCGGGTATATCAAAGGCAGTGGCAAGGCGTGAATGATCGATGGACCACTAGACAAGGTACGAATTTAAGCATTCTGATATATGTTTCTTAACCAGAATTTCACGTAGAACACGATTCGCGCAACGAAAATTACTGAAACCAACTCCTAACGGAGATATTAACATTTTTAATTCACATTGGTTACGAGGAATTTGAACTGCCCGCTCGCAAGGAACTCAAAACTCTACGTGAGTCAAATCGCCCACTACAACGGTTCCAGCAAGCTTCTCAATCGAGCAATGTTCATTTCCCACCATGTGTTTTTCAAACTATGAGTAATTTGCTATAGCTGAGCCAAAGCGTCAAGATTGAGGTTGCCGGATTTTTTTATCGCAGAGACGTTCATGATAACGTTTAGCGCGCGATGTGAATCACGTAGAGCATTGAGTTTTCATGAGCGGGTGGTTTCAATTCACGCACTAAGAATCATTAAATATCTTCGGGAGGAGTTGATTTCGGTGATTTTTTTTTGTGCGCATCGTGGTTTACGTGAAATTTCGGTGAAGACACATGTTTCCGAATGCTGGAATTCGTACCTTGTCTAGTGGTCCATTATCGATATTTCCCAATATTAAGCGAAGAATCGTAGTCTAGGGTGTTTGTTGCGTGCCCTGCCTATCGATCCATTTCCATTGATTTAAATGGGAGATCAATCGATAAATCGCAAAGCACGCCCACCTGGTACCCACCTGTAATCTAGTAAACTAATGGGCCACTGGATAAGGTCTGAAATAGATGAAAGCGTCTTATATTTCCTCTTCAAATTCTTACTCAGAAAACAATTCACAAGACAGCCAATAATTAAGGCCTCCTTTCTGAGGCATGAAAATCAAACCTTTTTTTCCGCGCAATACAAGGCAACATGGGATTAAGCTTCCCCCGTCGGGCTTATCCGGGTCCGACGGCAAACGCATCGCATCCCGGCGGTCAGCAAACAAACGGAAAAGTACACAAAACCGCCAAGACTCCGTGACACCGGTCGTTCCCGGTAGAAAGACTCATCCATGTCCATTTCCACGATCATCCACAAAATCTTACCCGTCGCGTCGTCGCGTCGACAGGCATTTGGTGTGATCCCGATTTCGCGCACGTCGAGGAGAAGAGGAAAAGGGGTCCCTAACCTCTGATTTTGACTAAAACTGAAAATTTTGATGTTCATTTCGTCACATTTTAAATTGTAAGGGGTGCTTCTAGAGGAAAATTTCACGAGAAAACCAATGGAGTCACTTTTAAAACCTCAAAGTTTTGTATGGAGTTATAAGCTGGTGAAATTTCTAAATTTTGTCTGACCTTTTATTGACTCAGTCAATAAAAGGTCGGACAAAATTTGGAAACTTTAAAAGCTTATGACTCCATTTATACAAAAATTCAAGGTTCTGAAAGTGGTTTCCTCGATTTCCTCGTAAAATTTTCTTTTTAAAGTACCCCTTGATATTTAAAATGTGACGAAATGAACATCAAAATTTTCAGTTTTAGTCAAAATCAGAGGTTAGGGACCCCTTTTCCTCTTCTCCTCGACGTGCGCGAAATCGGGATCACACCAAATGCCTGTCGACGCGACGGGTAAGATTTTGTGGATGATCGTGGAAATGGACATCGATTTCAGTTTTAGTCAAAAATTTCATGTGCGACCTCCATCATTGACTCGATCTATTGTGCGGCGTTTCTCCTTGGCACTACAGAGTGATTCAATAATCAAAGGGACGCGAATCAATTCAACGGATCTCTCCGTTCCAGGAAAAATGCTTTCCGAGGAAACCTGGAAGATTATTGCGTCGCGCGCGGATGATAGGACGCGGCGGTTGGGAAAGCAAAACAAGGAAATCGTAAACACGGCCCGCTAATCGTCGCTGCATTCGGTTTCACGTATAATTGAGCAGATGAAAAGGTAGTTCACTCGCCGCCCTGCGAGATCCTACGAGGAGGAGAGGAAAATTTCGGAGTAACTCACTGCAAACGGGAGCTTACAACCGGGACGGCGCGGCGGCTTGTAAACAAACCTGGTGCAGCTCGTCTGCCGCTTTAGGCCGCCAAAACATCCACATTTTCGCGCGCAGGGATGGGCGGGATCGCGGTTGTTTTGACCCTAGCGGCAGCGCGGCCGAGGATTTCGGGAATCGCGCACGCGAAACTTACCACGTGCATTCGCTGCCTATCAACTCCTCGATATTTCACGTTACTTTGTTCGGAAGTTGGACTTGTGCGCGCTCTGAAAAAAAAAAAGTTACGGGCTCTATAGACATATCGTCCGATCCGGGATCAGAGGCCGAAAGTTCCGGGTGCTAGAGTAGGGTGCGGCTTATACGCGATATTAAAAATGATGAGTTTTGAAATAGACAAGGGACCCCCCCCAAAACGTTCCTAATAATGTTAAAACAAACGTTGTCGAACAGTTTTCCATTTGGTCAACATTTAGAGGTCCCGACGGGCCCTTGAAATTGCAAAATTCGGCTAATTTCCGCATTTTTTTATCATTATGGCAAATTTTCTCAGGCCTCACTGAGAGTTATAATTGGTCAATTTATTCATAAATAGGCAATACATAACCTAAAATGTACCCGTACCCCATCCTCCCCTTGAAGCCCCCCATCCTTCTTCAAAGCCCCCCATCCCCAATCCCCCCATCCCCCTCCCTTAACGTTCCAATGTAAATACTCTCTTTATAAACCACGCTATTTTGATACGGATCAGAGATCGAAAGTAACACTGGTCAATACGGTTAAAATTTGATTGTTTCACGGTAGTTTTTGCGCATAGTCCGAAAATGACCTCCGTTTTGCTGGGTCAGGTCGATTTTCCCCGGAAGAATCAGAATATTCTTTAAAAAGCGAGGTTTTCCGGAGAAAAATCAATTTCCCGGGAAATCTGTGCATGATTGAGAAAAGATAAGGTCATTTTCGCATTCAGCAGCTAAAATCACATGGGGAACCATATATTGCATGCCTATTGAAGTCTCCATTCTGTTCCAACCTAATATCGATGTTTTTCCGGACAAGTGCTCCTTTCCGCCCATGTAACAATTGCTGAAGCCATATAGCTTCGATTGATCCTGCTGCTACGCCCGGAACTTTCGGCCTCAGAACCAGGAATGCGGACGCTATGATAGCCCGTAAGTTTACAGACATTAAAATGTTTTATTTCATTGGAGGACGTGGACTTTATGGAAGGTATCCATGATAAAACATGTCAGCAGTCTAGCTCAAAACTATCAAGCAGGAGCGTCAAGTATTTGATCGGCGATACCTAGTTCCGTAGAAAGTCAGTATACTTAAAAAAAACCGTGCCAGGGATGTTAAGAGTTGTGGCAAACAGACATTCGATCCTCTTGACACCTGGGCTTTAACCTCTACCTGTGGAGATGCGCGAATGATTGATTATCGATATTTCCTTATTTGAAGCTGTGGTAAAGAATCGATTATTAAAGTGTTCGTCGCGAACACCATTTCATCGATCCTTTTCCAAAGATTTAAATGGCACCCCAATCGATATATCGCAAAGTACGTTACAAAGCATGAGGAGCTTCCTTCTAAAATGCGGATGCTGTATCTGGCAAACCACCTTGAGAGTAGACACGAAAACAAACATCGAATCTAACGAAACTGATCCACATCTGGTATAAAATAATATGATTTGCCATTGCCTCAGAAGCCTTGAATTCCTTCGGTTCAGAAAGTGATATATGGCTTCCTGAATAATTGACCGTAATTCGGAAAAAAGGACATAGGTACATTTCCTTGCTAATAACGGAGAGGATTTGGACGGAAATTTCGGCACAAAAAAAAGATGCGGAAAACGTTCCTCTCAAAATAATTTGGAATGAACTATACTGAAGTGATTTGCCGCATAGTTGAGGAAAAAATTCGAAAGAGGAACACGCAGATTCGAAGAAAAACAGTCACGTATTCCCGAAAAAGTAATACAGTTGAAGTAAAAGAACCTTAAGATAAATGAAGAAATTGAAAAACATTCCTTTCTGTGCTCACTCGAATCTGCGCGCCGTGCCAAAGTACCGATAAAACCCCGTGATGCAACTATTCGTGCCCGACGGATGTCAGTGTTGCATACACAAAATACTGAAGGCGCTTTGCATTTTCTTACGCACTCAGCTGAACGCACATCCGTGCGTGTACTTCATTCTTATTATGGGCAAGGCTCCTCGATGTGTTTACGGGGGTGTCATGTGCAGCAGCTTGACTCGCATTATTCAAAAACCATCTCTGCTAAGAGAAAAAAAAAAAAGGAGAATCTGCATTCGGTCCAGCGTTTCTTGACCGAAAGGAGCATTTTATCAGTGTACTAATAGACTGATTTAGTGGTCATGTCATGGCTCAAATGTAAACAAACGGTATAACCTTGTTTCTGATTCGCGCCCTTTGCGCCATGGTGGTGAAATGTGTTTATTTCGATGGAATTTTCTCGTGTTCAACGAGTCGTTAATCGATTTATGACCGATCAATGGCTACATTTTAATAAATTAACACAATTAATAACTCGCGAAGAATATGTACGCGAGGTTGTGCTAGTTGGTTTTTGTTTGAACCAAAAGTTCGATACTGAATCGAATGGCGTGGTCACTAAATCAGTATATACTTAAGACATGCGATCATCTAAAAGTGTCTCAATTCCCTTCTGATACTTATTGTCCGGCCCAAGTTGATGACTTTGTTAAACGTTCTATTTTCGTGTGTTTCAGGGACTATCGAGGTTTGCAGCAATGAGGGAGAGCTAGTGAACCTTAATTACGGTTGCTTCACCTGTATTTGTAAGGTGAGTTACAGTTTTTATGATTGATATTCGGCTCTAACGCTTTTTTTCATCATTTCTCTCCGTCATAAAAACAAAAAACAAAAAATCATTCACTGTACGCGATCATGTGTGAATATGTTTTGTTCAAAATATTGAAACTTAGTACATTACCTACCAACATGCGACCGAAATGTTTAATGGCGTATTTAAATGACTTGCACCGATAGTGTTAGTCGAGAACCAAAATTAACTCAATATGTTTACCAAAAAATATTCATTTTAAGTTCAAGCCACCAGATGCACTTTTCTTTCTGTATGTCTCATTCACGGTGTCCCATTTTAGTAAACGCTCAGACTCGATTTTTTCATTTTCACTTCGTAGAAACCTGTAAACCTCATTTAAATATTCAATCAATGGCAATCAACAAAAAAAATACTGTTTGTCGTTCCTTTTCCATAGGATTAAATGGACCGCGTCAAGCAGAAAGGAACCAAACCACATCAGCTATTGCCAAATTCAACCGGGCAATTCAATTTTTTTACAAGAGAACGTTTGTGCGAATTCCTTTGAAACTTGTTAAAAATTTGCTTCGTACAATGCAGAAAATTTGCTGAAAGCACTTGAATCCGAACAGCCGTTTTTATGTAGGAAATCAATTTGCCCAATTAAATTTGGCAATAGCTGATGCAGCTTGGTTCCTTTCTGCGCGGTTCAAATGGCAGATCAATCGATGATGGCAAAGCACGCCATGCCCATAGAGAAAGAAAAGGGGGTGTTTGAATCTTGAGGATTGTTTACCTCGTGACGTAGGTCGGTACAGCATGGCCAGCAAAATCCGGAATTCGAAGTATGAAAAACGGGCCTTAACGTCTGATTTTCTTGCTTAAATCAACTCTTGATGTAGTTTCAAACACTTTATACAGACTGACTTTTTTCGATAAACTACACCATTTCCACGAATATCGATGATAAAAGTCATTCGTACCGACCTACGCCATCAAAACAATCCAAGATGCCCGAAATGCAAACAACTCCTTTTTTTCTCTACGCGCCACGCCACTGTTTCGTTGGTTATCAGGCTTCTGCGTCGCGCAGCATTTCTGCCGTGCTACGGAAGAACGCCGTATGAACATTCAAAAGTTGCCAAATTTCCTTTGATAAAATGTTTATTTATGAGGAAAGTTATGAATATTTTTTCTCTAAATTTTCAGAATCTTTAGGTAAAATTGCGAACTAAATTATCTGAAAAATTGTGGGGGAAATGTTCATAAGTTCACTAGGGAATTCGTGCCTTCTTGAAGAAAATTTGGCACCGCCTGACGGCTCATACGGTGTTCCTCCTTGGCACGGCTGCATTTCGACGGTGAAACTACCAAACCACGTATCTCGTCTGCGGTGTTTAAAAATCTACGCTCGCACTTCATTTTTTTGAAGTAGACCAACTCAATATCATTCCTTGAAATTTTCACAGAATTTTCTTCGCACGAAGAGGAAAAATCACAGACATTTTCAAGACTGGACTTTAAGTAGTTTTTCATTTAAAAAATAAAGAATGACAGGAAGTCTGCGACGTCGCAAACCGAGATACGTGGTTTGGTAGTTTCACCGTCGATTTGCAGAGACCATTTAATTAGCCCGACACCTCATTCTTCATCCACGATCTGAGTCTGTCTTTGCGTCTGGGCGTGCAAGCGGGAGAACGGAAGCAGTCCTCATTCCTTTCCTTTGTTTCGGCACTCGTCATGACGTTGCTTCTCGGACGTTAGGGATTACCTCGATTTCAGCATGAGCCCCAGAAAGCATAGATTTATACGTAAAGCAGGGCTCACGTGGGAATTAAGCTATGTCCTTACGTCGGAGGGATGACGACGAGAGCACGACTCACATAATCCGCCCGAAAATTTTTCGCAAATCCAGCAGCAGCCGCTAATTGCCCGCTTTTTCCGCGAACGCCGCACAGCAAAATGGGCTAATACAAGAGGTCGGACACAGTGGCGCGGCGTGCTTTGCGATATATCGATTTTTGTGCCCTTTAAACCTATGGAAAAGGATCGGTAAACAGGGTGTTCGCAGTGAACACCCGCAGTGTGTTCGCAGTGTTAATAATCGATTGTTTGCCATAGGTTTAAATGTCTAACAATCGATATATCGCAATTTACGCCACGCCTTTGGTCGGACATGAAATTTTTAGCTGAAATTTGAAATTTCGATGTTAATTTCGTCACAGATTCAATTTCAAGGGGTGTTTCTGAGAGAAAAATTTCACTGAAAAACCAATGAAACCACATCCAAAGTGTTATGTTTCATATTGCCAAAAATATCAGCTTTCAAAGTTTCCAGATTTTGTCCGGCTCCCCTTTTTGACTCGATCCGCTGTGCGCCGCGCCGTGCCAATCACTGCAGCGCCTGCTCTGCCGTGTTAAGGAAGAATCCCGTATGTGCCTGCCGACGATGCCAAATTTCCTTCGATGAAATGTGAATTTTAAGGAAAATCTGTGTTTGTTTTTTACGAATTTTTCAGGAAATTTTATCGGGAATCGGATTGAAATAACTTGAAAATTTCAAGAGAAAATATTCATAACTCTCCTCCTGAATGAACATTTTATCGGATGTAATTTGGCATCTCTCGTAAGTTCATACGGCGTTTTTGCTAAGAGCGGCAGCCTGGATGCTGATCCGCGCTGCCGCTAAAGAAAACCCCGTATGAGCCTCCAGGTGTTGCCAAGTTTCCTCCGATAAAAACCGAATCTGCTGGGAATATTCTAAATATTATTTTCCAAAAGTTTCAGACAATTTTGTTCGCAATTTAATCTAAAATATCTAAAACTTTCAGGGGGAAATATTAAATTAATGTTGTCAAAAATACATCACGAGAAATTTGGCAACTCTTGAACTTTCATACGGCGTTCTTCCTTAGCACGGCAGCGCGGCCGACCGACCAAGCAAAGGTCCCTGGCACAGTCGCACCCGTTTTGCGCACAACGTCGCCGTCGGCAAATCCAACACCAGCGGGCTGATTATTGAAATTAATAGACAAAGCAATAGACAAAGAAGACAAAAAGGATTTGGAGGGATCCTATTGGTAGAAGCGAGTGGTTTCAATGGACAAAGAAGGTAGGTAATAGACGAACTAACGGCAACCTACGAGGGACCCGATAGTTAGTCTATCATTTTCCCCCTTAGTCTATGAGAACCACCCATTTCAACCAATAGGATTGCTTTATACCCCCTATGTCTTCTTTGTCTATAGCTTTGTCTATCAATTTCAATAATCGGTCCGCAGGGGAAAATAACGCAAAAAAGCACTCAATTTTTGGCCTTAATAACCTAATTGAGATTTTTACCTCGCAAAGAACCCTTTACAAAGGCCAAAAATCAGCACTTTTCAAGTTTGGATTCGTTAGTTTCTATTGAACTTTATCGGGATCAAACTGACTCATTTGTGACGTCACTTTGGACTGATTTAGTGTTGACGTCATGACCGACTGATTCAGCTGTGACGTCACATATCTCTGCTTGAGTTGTGACGGTGCTCCGGCCACATATCTCGGAATGACTGAGCTAGAGCGACTTCGTACACGGTTTGAATATCGGCGCGTCGCGGACACTTGCAATATTGAGCTCATGGAAATTCTTATTTTAGTGTATTTTCTTCGGAAAATACACCAATGCGTTCCCCCGCATGTCAGACCTGGACCAAAAACCATGTAATAAGCATTAATCATGGGTCGAGAATTACGAAAATGCATGCCATTCGGATTCATTTTTAGTGCATGTTTGTTTATATATCTATGTATCAGTGCATATGAATTTTGAAAGATGGTGATTTGATCATTTCAATTCAATCAATAATTGATGACAGTGCTCTCAAATTCGTTAAAAATTTGATGAAAATTGTACTTAAAATAGTTTTATTGTCACAGCAACAGGCAAAATGGAGGTATTTCTGCAAAACATATCTATGTACAAAATGACTTGAGCCCTATTATGTATAAATACTTATGAGTCTCAGGGCTCATGTCTTCATGCACATAGTTTTGATTGGCAGAAATACGTCCAAATGTTATGACCCGCGACTCCGCATGACCATTTTTTGATACTTTAATGACAATTTCATTGATACACCGAGAAAAAAGAGCCTTTGCTCTTACAATGCTCTGTATGGTTCCCAGGTCAAAGGTTTACTGCATTTCATCACATGAAATATTTTCCGAAAAACCTGAGCTCAGAATTTTTTTTTATTTCATATATTTTCACACAATTTGGCATAGGTCGCGGACCGTTGACTGGCGCAGCGCTCTGAGTCGTAAACTGAGATGCTGATCCTGGATGCCCGATCTGAGCACGCGAACTATCAAAAGTTGTATCGCTCCTGTATACAAGCGGCCGGTTGTAGCTCACGCATAATTATCACTTTGGTATTTCCTAGTTATGCTGATAGCCCCTTGTAAAAATTATCTCCCACGAGGCAGGTCGCTGCCACGAGTGCCNGGGGGGGGGGGGGGGGGGGGTGCCCGGGAAGCCGTTTACTAGACATGGTTGCAACAATTATGCAGCTTCGCCTTTTACAAGTGACCTTCATGCAGCCTTGGCGGATATGAACATTTCTCTCTTAACAATGAGAGTATGAGTAGCAAGTGCGCTGAGCATTTTGGTTGACATAGGGCATAATTTAGAATAAGAGCGGGTACTCGCGTTGCCAAAAATGGACTATCCGCTCGTCCAGATCGTTCAAAATTACCCGTGTTTCAATGGGAAATGCCGCACAATGGATAGAGTCAATAGAAGAGGTCGGACAAAATGTGTAAACTTTAAACGCTTATAACCCCGTTTATATAAAACTTTGAGGGTCCTGAAAATGGTTTCATTGGTTTTCTCGTGAAATTTTCTTGCAGAGGCACCCCTAGACTTTAAAATGTGACGAAATTAACATCAAAATTTGCATTTTTTGTCAAAAATTTCATGTCCGACGTCTCTAATTGACTCGATCCACTGTGTGCCGTCGCTGTTTGTCTGCTTT